TACAGAAAGTGATAAAATCAATCTTTACTATTTCGTATCTTTCATCTTTACAGTGTCACGCAAAACGAATTATAATTCATAAATTATCACTTGACATCGGTACCCGAGATATTTAAGTTTACTTTAGTCAGCTATTTGTCCTTCAAAAATTATTTTAGTACATTATTTTAATTATCGTACATTTACTAATATTAAACTTGTATATTACATTTTGTTCTGGAACTAATTACAACTAATGGTCCTCAAGTAAATGTATTCTTCACTGTAATAATTTAATTTGGAAATAGTTTCACCTAAAAACTATCTTAATCGTGAGATGTACAACTCAATGATTTAGCTGAATACAATTCTGCTGCAATAAAATTATAGAAATCATCGACAGTAACTATGTAACATAATGAATTTTTTACAAAAAAAAAAGTTTAATTTTTTTGGACATAAATGAGAAATGTTAGACTCTTTGTCCGTCTTCCTGAAAAAAAGAGAAACATCGATTTGATCGTTTAGATCTGAAACATGATTACTAACGTGACTACTAACAAACCTGATAGTATAATTTTTTCAATTTGTGACAAGATGCCTCCATTTTTTTATTGTCCTCTGCCAGGCCAGTTATCTACCCATAGCGCGATCGAATAACACGACTAGTTACTAAAGAGAGCAAAGTACTAAAAATCGAACGGCCATTCGATTTCCATTCAAATTATTGCGGATTGAATTCGTCGTGTGTGATGCGTGATGTAATGAAAAGTGTGGAAAATGGATGGGTGTGCTCAGAATCGTAGTCGTTCTGCCGGCATTGTTTACTCGGAAGGAAGTTCAACTCGGAAGTGGCACTATTCATGAATCTCATACGAGGGGCAGAGCGGCGTATATACACGCAGTTCGTGTGTCGCGTGTGTCAGAAGCTCTACAAAGATTATTTGATGTGTAAGTGCGCGTTTCACAGATGAGGCGCGGTGTACTTAATGCAACATGTATACGTATGCGTATATGTTTGACGTAAAAACGTCATTCAAGGGGCTGGCTGCGCAAGCGTAACTTGAAATTCTGTATACGGATCAGTGTCGACTGATCTACAACAGCGTTTCTCAATCTTTTCTACGAATTACGAATTATTAAAACTCAAAAATTATCTGTTTTTTTTTTATGAAATGCTTGAAATTTCATACTTGATAAATAAAAATCACATAACCAGTTTAGAGTAGGTACGATGTTTGTACGACAAGAAATACATACATGACACAAGTGTACATGTAATAGAGCAACTAGAGTAGAGTACAATATTTGTACGAGTAACAGCTACATTTTGTTCTATATTTTAAATAAATGAATCATCCATACAACTATATTGGCTTGCTCGTATATTTAAAACTTTGTAAAAAATTGCAATCTAATAAATCTTGCAATCTTTCTTGTATAGCAGCATCAGGTTTGATAATGAGACAAGCGAAGGCGTTGAGTAACTTTTACACATTACGAGTCAGCTAGTAATCTTATTTCACATAAAATTGTAAAATTTCAAGATAGAAATTTGTAACTTTTGATTTGTAACTCGTCAACTTATCAGTACATTGTTAGTTACTAAATTGATATGCAAGAGGATTCAGGTGTTGATTTTTATACGATTAGGAAAAAGTGGAAACGCCGATTAATCTTGCAATGCATGGAGTACCATCGAGCTATTACTTTTATTCAGCGTATTGCTTTAATTTACTGCCTATTAAATATTATTGGAATTTTTTTAAATTCATTTTTTATATTTTTGAAAGTACTTTTTATGTACGTTCTTAAAGCAAAAAATGATTGGTAATGTCTGTGATTGGCGCAAGAAATAATAATATAATCAGGAATAATTGGAAGCGAGAGTATACTGTCATTCATATCTACTGAAGTATTCAATTTTTAATGATTTACGTTCAGAAAATTATTGTTTTATATATAAATATTAACATATTTCTTCTATGTTTTTTTCAATGGGAGGAGTTAATGTTACTGGTGTATTTTTATTAAAAATTCAATATTAATCTAATTCTTTTTCTGTGCCTAGAAATGGATTATGCACAGAAAAAAATAATAGTATTTAATTATTATCTATCCAAATTTTTTTACTCTCCACAGATAATCGTGAAAATAACGATTTTTTTCTTCGTAGTGTATGAACAATAATTTTTCGGCTAATGCATTTTTTCTCCTTAACGATATTATTAAGTAGTACGATTATTAAGTAGCACAAAATATTTTCTTCTTTATAAATAGATTTTCTGAGATTCTTTCGTTTATGTCATATAAATAGTAATTTTTCAATTTTCGTAACTAGCAAAGACGTTAACTTGGTTTACATATGATTCATTTCAAATTTTAAATATTTTAATACTAAATTGCAATATATCGGATAACATCGTATCAAACATCCAAGACAGGTTTATAACTTTTCATAAACTTTGTAAACAAGAAGTACTTGCACTACTTTATCTAACAGAATTTTGATGTTGCACTTGCTTCCCAGTATTTCCATATACGTCATATATCGATGCAACGTTACAGTATTTATTTTGCGAATAAATTAATTTTTTCGACGATATGTTTTTCCTTAACGGGTGTATTTCCCGCTTTACAGTAGAATGCACACTTTTGGCGATGGATTAATTTTACAATACACATCGGTAATTAAAATTTATCTGAGCGTAACGTACAATTTTATTTTTCAATACGCAAAACTAATATCGTAGAAAGCAAGAAAATGGAGCATTATGCAAATATCTCATAAACAGTCGAACGTGGAAATGCGTTAAGCTTTACGAAAAATTATAAAGTTGGTAACTACGCCAGAAATTAAATATAATTTGAATTTAATGTATTTAGGCCCGTGTGAAAACTGGAACTAATTTGATTTGTTATTGTATAGACTAGTTGTTATTTTTACTTTTAAAATTTAAAAAATTGAGTAGTAACTGCAAATAATATTATATAGTAATGCAGCAGAAAATAAAAATAATATCGTTTCATATACAAAGAAATACTAATACTGAAGTGGTTTGTCAAAACGAGGATCTTTTCACATCTTTTACATCTTTTGTACAAGTTTTTCGTTAAAAACTTGGACAACTTTAAATCACATAAAATCATTATGTTTTTATTTTTTCATGAAACAGTTCTTTTTCTTCGACGAAGTTAAATTTTTATAGTTTACCAAACACAGATGCATCCGTTTGAACATTATTAACATTTTCAATTATATGTATTAGGTTGTCCCAAAAGCTTCTTTCGCTTTATAAGGAAATAATAGATCCAGTAGAGACATTTTGTTCTATTACTATAGAATAGCTCATACATGATTCAATAAAGTAATATAAAAGAACAAATGTTGTGCATCTATTATTTCCTTATAAAACGGAAATTGATAACGGGATCAAGTAAATAGAACAGTATGTATTTATGTATTCTATAATGGAGAATTTTTTAAATGAAGCTACAAACATCTAAATTTAGGGAAGAAGAAATATAGTTATTATACATTATATAGAAATATAGATAGTATCATAGATAGGAAATGTAAATGCATATACAATGTGTCTAAAGCACCGAGGCCATAAATTACACACACACACACACACACACACACACATATAATATAATACTTAAATATCAACTTCTGAATCGACTTGAAATCCCCGGTTTAAAACACGTTATTTATCAAAATTCTGTTTAACCGGAATAAGTCATTCGATCGAAGCGGTTCACAAGGTCTACTCCAAACAAATAGTCACATATTTTTCAATACCTTTTCAAACAAACTTCTCGCAAAAATATTCAAACAACTTGAAAACATCGCGCTCCTGTAAAATGAAAGTTTATTTTCATTTACTAAATAAAGAAAGAGGTAGCCTGAAATTTGCTGATCGAACGTGTAAACGGATAATGGACGCAGGAGAACAGTTTGAGAAACCCTGATATTCGTAAGCATGTATTATATAAACAATACATGTTGGCGATACCCGCGCGAACAGAGAATCGCACGCGTGGGTGGGGACACGAGCGTGTTTTACGGCTGGCGGATCTGCTCGCGCTCAGTCTATTCCTGCGATTCATGGATCCTACCGGCCATGCCGCTGATTTGTGGCCCGTTGACGTTTAATTCGGAATTCATAAGCGACTGTCGGTGGCGTGGAAACGCGCAAATTTAGCTCGATTGTTCATGGATTTTGTAAGCATCAGGTCCGTGGACAGCAGCATCGAAGCTATTTTAATAATTTTACAGATGTTTCCTACCTTGTAATTTCGTATATCTTTGAGTAACGTTTCGAAAGTCGATCGTTCCACCTGTTAATTAGAAACGATGAGTTCACTCGTCATTCGGATTGTCAATACTTTGAACGCAGTAATTTATTTCATACGATTTGTTTAATGCATCGATATATTTACTTGTATTTCATTTCTATTTTAACCTTACTGTTTTTAGTGTATTCTGAAAATTATTGCTGTATAATGATTTGTGGATTGCTTAATTAAAATTAGTTGCTAGCGATAGAAAAGTGGTTTTATTGATTTTTAATTCTGTTTGCGAGGAAAGATCTGATTTAGAAACAATCTGAATTGGCATTAATCGTAAACTTGCATCAGGTGGTTGTGACATTCGGTTTTTCATGGTGCTGAATGACAATCTACGCGATATAAACATCGACATTATTAGAATATGATTACTTCTTCTATCATTTCTTTCTATCTAGCGACAATTACTTTTCTCGATTTTTTATTGTATTAATTATCCCAATTAATAAATTAGTTGTATATGTCAATCGTTTTCGCTATTTCTATTTTAAATCAAAATGTCTGAAATAAGAAAACATAAAATGAAATAGAAATAAAATAGAATAAAATAGAAACTAAAGGAACATAAAAACTATCGTGAATGTATTTGGTATTTCGCAGATTCGTTTGGCAGACATACAAAAAGAACATATAATTGAATTATAAAATTTGTCGTGTTTACTTTTCAGATGATACAAAATCTGACCAAAGCTACGCCAATCAGAACGGTGAACCGAAGAGTTCCTTGATCCACCAACGAAACGAAACCGAGAAAAGTAAGAATCGATCATATTTTTTTCCCCTTTAATTGATAACCGATATTACTTTGGAATGCTGTCCTGGCGGTGAATCATGCTTTTTGCACGGTCATAAGACAACATCAACTTCTTTTCCTTATTTACCGTGCACATTTGCATTCGTCATTCTCGTTTCATTCATGGGAAGATGTAAATGCTACGCATTAATATTACTTTCTTGTGCAAATAAGATTATTAAATACGTCCCAACTATTAACTATAGTCTTCGTAACATCATCTCAAAATTCGGAAATATAAATCAAATCGTGTAGTATATAAAATACGATAGCAATTCATAAGCTGTTCTTTAAATATTGCTCCACCCATAATAGGATTATTTTTCATATCGTTTTTTATATCTCAATAATTTTATGGCTACGCTATAATTACTCTGATTATCGAAAAAGACTTCAGTTTTAGTTTTTCAGTTAGAGAATTTTCGGTTTAGAAATTTCATCTTCTTCTAAATTTTTCTTCTCATTAGTCTAATCGAGCCAAGCTAGCAATTATAGCATAGACACATCATTTTGCTTTGCGTATCCCGCGAGGTTTGTTGACATTATCGCACTATCGAACGATTAAACGATTCTCGTTAGTGTGGCATTTCCCTCATAGAAAGGAACGAACATCTTTTTCTTTACGTTTTGTCGTCTTATGTCAATACACGTTGATTCCCTCGAAGAAAATTATACGACAAGTAGAGCATCTTCTCGAGAACAATTTCGGCGGAACGGTTTAACAATTCCTTTCGTTATTTAATATTATACTTATTTATAAACTACGAACAAGATTGCATTTCACCAGACATTAAAAAGCAAAAGCAGTGAAAAGACAAAAAAAAAAAAAAAGATGAAGCATAAAACAGAAAAGTAGAAAACAGAGAAAAAGTCGAAACTGGCCGATTTTACGATTCCATAGGAGTTTGCAAATTCTTGGAGTACGCTACCGACACGGAAGAGATTAACATGCCGCACAGTGCGCGAAACCGCAGAAATCGCAAAGGTCGCAACAACAGAAGACCCTTTCAAAGGCAGCAAACTCTGGATAAAGCTACGAAAGATAACAACGCCACCATAGAAATTCCGAAGAACATCGAGGAACACGAAGAGAATCTTCACGAACCTAAGACGAGCGCAGATACGAAGACGAACGACTCCGACTCGGAGAATACCGTACACAGTGGCAAAAATCAACGGCAGAATGTCGAAGACGATGATGTAAACGTGACAAAGAATTCGGATAACGAAATCACCCCAAAGGGAGTTATATCGAAGTCTCGTAGATACGCGAAAGAAGAAAAGTGTCGAATAGAGATAGGTACAGTGCAACCTGGCATCAAAGTTATGAAGATCACAACGATCAGTAGTTCACCTCTGGAAGCAAAGATCGATCACATTCCCGGGGTCGGTATCGTAGAGACTGGCAGTAAAGATAAGATGCCGGATAACGAGGCTATTGTGACAATTTCCGAACCTGTGGACTCTTTCTCTTCTTCTACGACGAAAGTGGACAGGAAGAACGATCTGAGTCAAGATTCGATGTTGACTGGCAACAAGCTGCAGATTCGCGATGTCAGCGACTGCGACACGGTAGACACCGATAACGTTAAACCAGTTATCGTCGAAATGGAATCGGACGTGGAAAGGGAGCCAACGGAGCTAGCTACGCGGTTGGAAGCGGATTTCGATGACTCTGATGCGTCGAAGCAAGATTTTGTGGAACCGAGGCGTGTCTGGGACAGCGTGATGCCGCACGACGTAGAGAGGAAATTGAGGAGCTTCATCGAGAGTCTAAAATTGCCGACTTACGTGGAGGACGTCGTGGAACCAACGAAGCCGACGGACCACGAGCGGATCAGTGGCTCGACGCACAAGAAGGCGAGGAAACGCGCCACTTTCGAAGCGCAACACGCGCACTTGCAAGCGGCTAACAGGTTTTTGGACATCATTCAAGAGGAGGGCGAGAAACTGTCCGAAGACGAAGAGCAGCATATAAGAGATTTTATTAACGAGGAGATTGGGAAATACCGGAGGAAAGAACGCTGTTCGGAACGTGTAGAACATAAAGAGGGATTGATGCAAGAAATAAGAGAGGAGGAGCACAGTGTGAAGATAAATGTGATCAACGTGGACGAAGAAATGTCTGAGAAAAAGGAAGATGCTGATAAAAAGGAAGATGCTGATAAAAAGGAAGATGCTGATAAACAGGAAGATGCTGATATAGGAAGAACTCTAGAATTGGATAGAGTGGAAACGGAGCTTGACACTAGAGAAGCGAGGAAGCCGATTGACGAAGATGATGAATCGCGGAAGGATTCAAAGGAAGAGAATTTCAAGCTGAAAGAAGATAATGATACGGAAGTGTTAGAAGGGAAAAATGTTAATGTTGAAGACGAGTCTGTAGGAAGTGAGTCATTCAAAATAGAGGAATTGGAGCAAAGTATAGAAGAAGATGAAGAGATATTAGAGAAAAAGGACGATAATAATGGAAAGATCGAGGAAGTGGTAAGCGAACCATTGAGTGATGACAGTATAAGTCAAAGTGATTCTAAGTTGATTGTTGAAGATGAAACTAGTGGTCAAATGTTGTTTAATGGTGCAAATAATGAATTGAAAGATTTGAATAATAAGCAATTAAACGAAAAATGTGAAACATTAACTGATGATGTTAGAATAAAAGAAGTAGAGAAAGTATCGCTTGTTCAAGAAGGTATGTCGACAGAACAGACGTCAGAAAAACAATCAGAAGTTCCTGATGATTTAAATATCAGTGCACGTTGTACGACGATACAGGTTGAAGAGAACAAAAATGAAAAATTAGAACTGGATAAAAATCAAGATACTTTGAATGAAATATCGGAAGAATTAAAGATCAAACAGTTAGAAGTGGATAGTAATTGTACTCGTTTGGAAAGTGAAGTATTAATTGAAAAGCCTGTTAGAGAAGAAAAATTGGATTTGGAAAATAATATACGAAATTCTGAAGCATTGTCAAAGGAAACTGAAGAATCAAAATCAATTGGTGACGATGATGGTTCCAAAAACGAAGTGCTGTGTGAAAAATTGGTAAAAGAGAAGGAATCTTGTATGAGAGATGATGTTGTGAAAGATTCCAAAGTAAATACGTTGCCTGAAAATCAAACGACTGAAGCGATTGAAAATGGAACAACAAATAATGGAGAATCGTCTCATAAAAGTGAGATAAAGTTCGCAAAAGTCGATGAAGAATCATCGTACGAAATAACATCTGCAGAAGTCAATGAAAAATCATCGCAATATGAAACAAAACATAGAAACGTCGATAAAGAATCATCGAAAGAAAGTGAAACAAAATCTATAGAAATTAATAACGAATCATCCGAATCGAAATATTCATGTGTAGAAAATACGCAAAATGAAAGTTGTACCAATCCAAAAAACATTAATATTTCCGAATCAAGCATAACGAAAAGCGTAAGCGATGAATTATTAAAAGAACAATCCTGTTGCATAGAAAGGAAATGCCCAGAAATTCAGACTCCAGAAAACGTTATATCAGTGATAAAGACAAAACCTTGTACCGTAACGCCGCCAAAAAGATCTTCTAGCCTATCAGACATCGATTTCCAAGAGAAAACAACGTATTCCGGTATTTACGATCGTAATCCTCCAACCCCTCCGCTTCGTCGAAAAAGGGAAGTCAAACAGCTCATAGACGTTGACGATCCTCCCAGTCGTCCACCTCTTCCGAAAGAAAACCTCAGTATATTCGATGCATCTTTCAGACAACCCTTGGAAATACATTCTTTGGAGACTCCAACGATGTGTAGGAATATTGGCAGCCTGAGAACTTTATTGACAATAATATCCCGCAGTGACGCGTCCGTCAGAAATATTCGCGACGCTTTAAGCACCGTGGATTCGTTGGCTCTGCCTGAGAACGTACGCAAGATAATCGATGATCTAAGAGCAAGCGGGAGGAGGGCTTGTCTCGGGAGTGACATTACCGAATTGCACAATTACCTTGAGAACGGCGCCGAGCTTGGCAATGGAGCAACGCCTGAAATAACGCATGACTACTTGAATCGTAACGTACACGAAAAATCGTCGGCGTCCAAGTCGTCGGCGAGATCTGACGCGCACGAGCCGGTCGAACGACTAGTGAAAATGGTCATAGAATCGTCTAAGGACGAACCTGATCGAGCAACACTTTCTGATAAATCCAATCAGAAGCAATCCGAGAGTAAGATCGGAACGTTAACGAATGAAAATCAGGGAAAGAAAACTGAATCGGAACAGTCATCGCGTCATCATGTTAATAAGGAGGTTATCAAGAGTGAAATGTCGATGAAGAAGAAGATTGTAACGCAAAAAAACATATCAACTATGCGTGACTTTAGATCGCGTAATAATAAAGTTGAAAATTCAAAAGATACCAGGGAGTTAACTACTAGCGAGGAAGAGTTTGAAGAAATATACAAATACTCCACTTCAAAGGACAATGACGAAGTGCAGTCTTACGTTCGTAAAATTAGCAAGCACGATAATCATGATCAGAAGGAACGTGAAAAATTCGATAGCCCATCAGAAATACTAGACTCTATTGTAAAAATCCACCCTGAGCATTTCATGGATAAAGATAAGTTGGAGACAGTGGATTATCAAGGGCACGACTCGTCCAGCAGTGCAACTACTTTGAGTACGGTGAAGTATAACCCGGCAGATGCCTGGCAAGCTGACATTTATTCGATAATAGCGGAAGAAGCAAGGAAAAGCAAGCTTAAGCGAGAGGCAGAGGAGAAAGTCGAGTCATCCAGCTTGAGAAACAAACTTCCTTTGCTGAAAAGCGATGAATCGTTTTATAACACAACGAACTGTCACGAAGTTCCAGTGACACCTGAACCTATACCCTATTCACCTGTCGAAGATCTGTGTTACGCGACCATTGACAGTGATGCGAATTATGTGAAAAGTCAGTCGCAGAAAGGCGGGACTACCAATGGACCAGAGTCTTTGAAAGACCTTAGCATTAAGAAAATTTTGTCGATGCCGTACGGTTTTCACGTAATCAACGAGATCACGATGCCTAAATTTAACATCTTTAAAAGTCTACGATCTATCCCGAAGTTTACTAATAACGTAACGAATGATGAGATTAGAGACATTCCATTAAATATGCATGCAGTGAATGAGCAGCAAACTGAAAGAGCTAAACTAACGACAGCTTTGTCAGAATCAAAGTGTTCTGATTCATGTAAAACCACTGTTTCAGACCAGACTATATCAGAGCAATTAAAACAGAAAGAACTGCTCGATTCGAATCTCGGCGTCGAGTTACCCAAGTCGCGGCAAACGACCATGGCCAAAGATAGTTCGGGAACGTGGGTAGGTTTATCGACGTCCAAAGATCCCAGGTTGCTCGTTTGCTTATCACCGTCTCAGCAGAAAACCGCAATAAAAACGAGCGCGGACAACTTACTGGATTTGCATAGAAAATTCCTAAACAGACACAGCTATTTCGACGAAGAACCGCCTCCACGAATCCCTGTTCCTAAATATCGAGTCGAACTGCTGCCCATCGACGAAAGTAACAAAGAAAGCGTTAAACGCGAAGTAAAAATCGAATTCTCCAAACCGACTGCTCATGACGTTCGCACTGAATACGATAAAAAATTACCTACAAACAGGCTGTTAGACATCATCAAAGAAAATTCTGACAATTCTAAACATCCATATAGCGCGAGACCAAAGTCGAGAAACGAATCAAAGGTAAAGTTTGATGAATCGAGGCACTCCGACACAAAGTCGTCTTATACAAAGTCGAGTACTCTTGACAATGGTCAGGAGCGTCTCAAAGTCACTCGCCTATGCGACTGGTTGAACTTAGCAAGACGCGAACCCGTCAGTAATGCGCGGCACGCGACATCGCTATCCGATGATTTATTAATAGAATCGTCGGGTGAGGGAAAAGAGCGTGATAAGAGTCGATTCAGCGAACGAATTCATGGCAATCAGTCGGAGGTTGCAAAAGAATCAGGGTCAGATAGAACCAAGGAACATGTTACTGGTAAACGGTCGACGCCAGCTCATTTCATCAACGCTGCTTTGATCGTGAATTCGCTCGAAAAACCGGAGCCGCCCGTCAGAAGTCCGACGCCCTTCAACAAGAGTCCCATTACACTGAACAGTGCTATCATCGACAAATCGGCCGCGATGCCAGACACTGCGGACAGGAGGACACCGCCACGAAGGACCATCGATCCGCGCTACAACGTGAATCCAGCGTTGATCGACAATAAAGTGGAAGTGCCACCGCGTCTGAAACGTGTGATCAACGTAGACAAATCGTGTATCGACACGACGAGTATTTTCGATCAGAATCCACCTAGAAGTCATCTGGAACCACGACGATACAAGAGCGAAGAAGAAGAAAATGTGAAACAGGTGGCAGCTACGGAAATCATGCAAAATCTGAAAAAGCTTCAAACCGAGGCAGAAACTCAATTGGAGGGTCATCGAAAGTATTCTCTACCCCAAGAGTATTTCGCACAGCAACTGAAATACATAGAGCTGCTGGAGAATCAGTTGAAAAACGTAATATTAGCCGAGGAGGAGGAGAAGGAAGCCTTTGAGACATTCCAAACACATGCGAGGCAACGGGTACAGGAGACAGGTGTAACGAAGGATGTACCGAAGAGACTTCCTTCTTCAGACAAGTCTTTTGATCGAGTATATACCTCTGAGATTAAAGAGAAAGCCTCTCAAGACACTCGCAATGATGAATCTTGGGTAGAGAGCCAAAGCTGGCAGGAGAAGTCCGAGGAAGTGAAGGAAAATTATTCGGAGACGATTAATAAACATGGTCAGAAGGATTTTTTGAAGAAGGTGCATCGCGAGAACGGTTTCCACGAGGAGGAATGTGAAAAGCGAATCGAGCACGTGGAACAGCATTCCGTGATGACCAAGAAGGGTGACAAAGTTCCTGAAAAGATGAAAACGGATCGAGCTGAGCAAGCGAGCGGCGCTTGTAAAAAAGCACCTACGGAAAAAGAGAGGACGAAGGAAGAGCGTGGTTTTGGCAAAGAAAATACGTCGCCTGAGATGTCTAACTCACAGAAAACCGTCAAAGTCGAAAAACCGAGTGTGCCCGCGGCCGTGAAGAACAGCGAAACGTTTCGACAGAGAATGTACGACGAGTATGTGCACAAGGTCCTCGAGCGAGAAGAACGGAAACATCATAAAGTGGTGAAAATCAGCACTCACGAGGATATTCAGAAATTGAAGAATAATTTGGGAAAAAGTGACATGAGCACCGTTGAAAAAGAGTTTATCGAAAAAGCGAGGAACAGGCTAAATAAATTTGGGATTAATTTGGACGAAAGCGAATCTGAAAGCGACAAAAGCGGTAGTAAAGTCAAACGTGACAAAAAGACGAATGAGAGGAAAGAAGAATGCAACGAGGAGGAGAGTACCGTCAAGGTGAAATGTTTGATCGACGGGAAGGAGTTCGAAGACGCGAAAAAGTTACCGAAGCATCTACAAGAATTCCTTACAATGTCCGCCACGTTCGACGATGGTGAGTCTCACCGAATCGAGGATTGCAGTGTTATTTCAGCGTTGTTTTCCATTGCTACGGTTGAAATATCGTGCTCGAGTGTTGATCGCCCGATTTTTGAATTTTGGAAGATACGAATGACGTGTCGGATATTGGATACATAACAGTCACTAACGCACGTTCGTAGCCTTGTGGTGGATTGCATTGTCGTAGGTTGCTTGCCATATTGCTCGTCACTAACGATATTCATGGTGAACGAATGATTTTTTTTTCTTTCTTTGCTCGTCTTTTTAGTTGACAGCCATTTACATATTTTGGTTAGCAACTATTTCTCTTTTTGGTTATTTTATATCCGCGTCCTATAGAAGATTTATTAGACAGGATATTATAAATTCGACAAGCGGTTCCCTATGCAATAATAATTTAAAAGAGCAGAGTTACTATTTTTCATACAGAGCTTCATTTTTCAAAATATTAAATTTATTCTGCACTTATATTTTCTGTAACTTTTTCGATTTCTTTTCTACGTTTATTAAGATTAACGATAATATTGTACGAATTTTGTCAAGATTTTGAAATATTACATTATTTAAATGACTGCAGATTAAAACTATATCGTAGGCAGTAAAGAAAAGTATTGAGACATAGGCTGAAACTGTAAAAAAGCTACTTTTTCTTTGATTTCGATGATTTTTGCATATGTTGTAGAAATCAACATTGTAAACAACTTTTTCCTCTGTATGCAACTGTCGCTCGACCGTAATTTCTGATATTCCTAAAAAGCTATCGATATCAGACAACAGTGAATTTTGCCTATAATTGTGTAGCCGTAACAGCGTATGTGTTCGTATTAGTTGTCGGCCGTCTATCTTTTGTTTATCTTTTGTTTGTTTGTCGAGCGACAGTTACATACACAGGAAAAAGTTGTTCAAAATGCTGATTTCTAAACATATACAAAAAGACATCAAAGTTGAAGTGCAAGTAGCTTTTCTACAGCTTCACCAGAGACTTTTGTTTAACGAAAATCAAAATATTTAATGAATTAAATGTTAAAAATATTATATTTTTCATATTTTCATATGTTGTTGGAACGTCGAACTCAGATTGATATTACTTAGATGAAAGTGACGTTTTCAACAACTTATAAGATAGTAGTAAAAATCTGTTGTTTCGGTCAGATTGTAGGTAATCATAGTGAGAAAATATGTTGTCCGTAGTTTGTTCGAAATCATCGTTAATAGAAAATATTATAAGGTAATGACGTTTTAGTATTGACAGGTTTTTGTTAATGCTTTTGACGTGCATTTTTCAACTATGAATTAATAAGATAAAAATAATAATTATTGCTTTAAACGATCGTACCTGCTTGGTTACCAGCAAGCTTTATTCACATAAAATTTTGTGTGCTTAGTTTAACTTTGAGTTAGGTGAATTCATCTAGACAAGCAGAATTTGTAAGAATAATATTTCAAATTTCATGTTTGATGAATCAATTTTAATTTTTATTATAAAAGTTGTAACAAAAATTTTGTGATATTATTACAAAAGATGTAAAATTAAAAACTTTTTAATTAATTTTTACATCTTTTATTATTACCATTATATTATTATTATAACGAAGTATCGTTAAATATAAATATAATTTAGATGTAATTCAAATCTTTTAATAATATATACACATAAATGATGTCAACTATATACATACGCATCAAGTTTTATAATATTATATTTGGAATTTAACTAATTTCAAGTGGATTCCCTGATAAGTTCTATTACATAATTAAAGCTGTGTTTTCCTGAGAATGAGACCTCCAATTTTCGTTTTTGATAGGATTGAAAGCTGTCTTTCATAAAACATAATTTTTAAGCTGGCTTTTATAAAACATAATATTACAATTATAATTATTCTTGGGTCAAATTAGTAATTTTTTTCCGGTATTGTATTCTCAGTTTTTAGTAATTTATGGTCTGTGTTTAATAATAAAAAAAAGTGGCAACCAACACTCACAGAATAATATTACATGCATATATATTTATACAATTTGCAGAAAGTATTTAACTACGTATGGGATTTTGAAAATTTGTAACTTATATTTAATTCGTCTCTCATATCGAGGTTGATAAGCCACGCCAATATCCGAAATGCTGTGGCTGATATACGTGTTACAAAACATGCGATAAAAGCGAATAGAGTACATAACAACAACTTATAAATGATATTAGCATTTTACACGAATTGTAGGAAATATATAGAAAATATGTAGAAAATGTACGTTCAATGAATTGAAAGATGATATTTATTTTTAATTTAAAATTTGATTTTTAAGTACGTACGTTTCTTCGGACTAACAATCTATTAAGTTAAACACAAACAAGATACATGTACATATGTATTTTGGATAAATTGGTTAATTAAAATTTTGGATAATATAGGTTATTATATATTTATTATATGATACTACATACTAATATACAAATGCCACATTTTTAAAATTGAGATCTATTTCCAATCACGGAAGTATTTTATGTGCTTACTGTTTTAAGTATGTTGATACTACTGATATTTTCCACTCATTGGCTATCTCAATATGCAATTCATGTTGTTTCAAGATCTCAAACATTTTTGAAGTCTTTTGAAGAATTTTTTATATTGTCTTATATCGTGGTATTGTCAGTAATATGACGACTGGTTTCTTTCTGAAGTAACTTTCATCAAGGTCTGGCTAGCTGTTAAGAATTTATAAGATGTGAGCAACCATTGAAAATCAGATGACGTCAAAGTGGCGTCATCGCTTGTTACAATGTTCGTAATGTTTGTTATAAGAGTAGAATTAATTACTTCAGGAGCTTCAGCAACTTTTATTTAGTTAAAATGTAAAGAGTATTATTAAACATGCATTTTATTAACTGTCATTCTATTTCTATATCCGAGCATCTTTTGAGTTGTGTTATAACGATACTAGATGTCATGTTCTCTTAAAAATTAAATATCATCACTGTGAATACAACTGTAAGATATTTAAATTTTAAATAACGAAATAAAGTATGAAACTGAAAGCACATAATTTTATTTCTATTCAATACATATTTTATTGAATTATTACGTTTATCTTGATTACAATTTTACATTTGTTTAATTCAATATAAAACATGATCTAAATATTAAATTTGTCCTTTGTTTAATATGAGATGTGACATTTTGATTTTTTTGTTTAATAGAATATGAAATCTGTAAATTAAATAGAAAGAAATGAAACGGTCATCTAGGAACAGTTCATCAGTTACGGAGTGCAAAAAAAGAATTGTTGAAATTTATGTGTTGTTGTCACGTATAAACTACTGAAGAGATTTTTATAGTGTTTTCTCTGTTGTATAGCTTATTCGTGTTTGGAAAAGAAAATAGAGTATGTTTCATCTCGATTCGTTTTGTAAAAGCTGAGATAGCTGGGCTGATCTGAATTGTACGTACTGTTATGTTGAGTAGAGGTCAAGCAACGATGGTTACTATTTACGTCGCGTTTGTTCTGAAATCGAGCCTTTTTTAATTTAATATTTTTCACTACGGAGAATAGCTGTTAGTATAAAAAATTTGTAGGGATTTTATTCATACAAATTTATTTATTTATTTATAACCGTTAGTATAACATAGATCTTTTGCGGGAAATAAAAAGTAGACGCAATTCGAACCATACGTGAATTCATTTTCACAGACATCGATAAGAAATTGATCTGAACGTAATTACGAAAGGTTTTTCGAACCGCTGGGATCTCATAAAACATAATGAAACAGGAAATAAGGTTTGCGTAACGTTATATGCTGAACCGATAGACGAGAAGCGGATTGATTTCTTGCCCATAATGAGGAAATACTGGAAGATAAGTTTGTTGGCTTTCGCGTAGGTCGTAGGATATCGTTACGACTAGAATATAATATAATAGAATAGAATATAATAACTCAAAGCTGTTAGAATTTTTACTGCCGTAAATTTTTATATCTTTTTTCGTACCACATAAACTTTTACGTTATATTTTTCTTCTCATTTTATAAGAAGTTTGAAATACCTAAATTAAATAAGGATACGAAACTATACTTTTGTATACTTTTGTATAGGTCAAATAGTTTAACATCTTTATTAAATATGTATATAAATATATATTTTATTTTTTTACTCTTCAATTTTTTGATTATACAACACAAATTTTCTGCAGATATCATTATAGGTATATCTATATTATTTTACACATTAGTATATTTAGTATATTTTTAAAAAGCTTGAAGGATTGAAATTTGAAAATATCTTGTCGAAAAATATTAATCTTGTCGATCAGGAGTTTACAACCTTCTCATTGGTGCATAGCATCAAACCAAAATTAATTCAGTACTACCAAAAACAATACGTTTCGCACATAGTATGAGATTAGTATGAGATTATGCACTTAATTAAATTACTGTCATATATCTGTATTTTGTTCTCAATAAAACGATTGAACAGTTAAACGAAAAGATTTAATTTTGCATTGAAAATATACTTTTGGTTGATAACGCAGTCGGTTTTTCTTATGTTCTCGCTTGAAGCACAAAGTTTTTGAGAATGAAAACTTATACGATTTCAAGTTTTACATATTACTTTGTGTATTTTTTCCGACAGATGTCACTTTGAGTGCGCCCATATCTTTCTCACGGACACGTGCTTTGACATTTCAAGCTATAAAAATACACAGACTGGATTGTTAAATTATGACGAATTTCTTTTCGAGCTTATTTATAGTAATGGATGTATTTAGGTATATGTTACTTTATAAGTTACCTATGAGTAAAATCAAAATTTTAACATATAAAAAAAATATCTGAAGCTTTTCATCATTGTATTACGCAATTCGTGACATACATACAGAAATAATCGTGTTTCTTATTAAAACTATTATTAATATTTTCATTAACGAAGAATATTTTTAACAATGTTATACTTCAAAATATTATGTATAACATCAATGGGTATAAAATACCAAAAGTCAAATTTTACAGCTCATATGTAAAAAATAATTCACTTTGAAAATAATTCTGTCATTTACCTAGGACGTGACATTTTTCGGAAGAACAGACTTAATATAAACAACATACACCCGAATCAATTTATTCCCATATAATAATTCCCAATAATAACAATACTAATAAATTGAAGACCAATGATGGCACATTCAGTGCTGATCGATTTTTTATTACGTACAGCATAGATAATAAAGTGCAGCTAACGGATCCTATTCTATACGTTTTTAGGGCTATAAGAATGCGTGTGAAAGAGAGGGAGAGGGGGAAAGAGAGAGAGAGAGAGAGAGAGACAGACAGAGACAGAGAAGTATTCAGGAAAAAGGGAGGGCCTGCTAGTATATCTATTAGTAAAATGCGTCTAAGAAAATTTTTCCGCGAAAGCATGTCACCGGTTTTACAATGTACAGCTGATTCGACACGATGTTTTCGTCGTGTTGCCGAAAAAAGGATCTTCATAAAAGTACGACCTGAGAAGACTCCACGAGGGCCTACTGCAAATTTATAATGCGCACGCCGCGCCAGAGTCATCAAATCTGACGTACACGACCAATTGTAGTAGAAAGAAACAATAAGTTCGAAGCTACCCAACGGATGAATCATGAGTCATAATTATATAAATTATTGATAATTTGTGATTAAAATTGCGATTTTAAATTTAAACTATCCGTTACTTGTTATTCGTATATTTATTAAATTTATCTTGTTTAATTAGGATGTTTGCTGATTAAATGGGTCCATATTATTTTTATTAGTATTCTTTAGATGGTTGAATAATTGAAATAGTCAAAAAACAAAAAAGTATTTTGGAAATGTTGAAAAACATAAATGAGATGTTTAAATTTTGTCTTTTTGCCAAATATTAACAAGTAATTACGTGTAATTTTCCATTATTATAATATTAAGTGCTTAACGTTAATTTTGTTTTTATTGTTTACTCATTTTCTGTTATTCGTATTCCGAATAAATTTTGGTTGCTAATCGTAGCAGGTTTATAAACTGGCAACTGACAAGCAGAAACAGTGGCGTGGCAATCAGCCGATGGTGGCATGAGCTGGGAGTACAGGTGGGAAAAGTCACCCTTGGTGGACCTACCGAGGTCTTCGAAAAATTGCGCACGATGTAATACCGTGATAGCCCGAGATAAATGGGTCTTCGAGACACTTGAACCTGGATAGAAACGGTTTCATATATTCGTACAGGAGCGATTTTGTCGGCCACGTTATCTTGCCAATCGAAATAGTTTTGTACGAATGCATTAAATCAGATGTCTTTGGATTGATTTAGCTCACCAGTGTGTTCCCGGTTTTAAGCTGCAAATCCATTAACAAGCTAAGCCAATCCAAAGGCATTTACTTCAACCTATTTATATGGCACTGTTTGCATTCGGAAGTTAAACTGATCCAATTATTGAAAAATCGATCCTGTAAAAATGTACAAAACTATTTCCATCGAAGCCAAGTTCAAGTGTCTCAAGGACCCATTTAACTCGAACTAGTATGAGATTTCTTTATGATCAATTTTTCGGAGCTTAACAAAAGCCCAGCAGGTAATCTTTTTGTCTCCGCACCCCTAGTCCATGCTACTGGAACAACGACCATACCCAAATCCACGACATTCCATACTATCTGACAGTGAACCATTAGGCTTTGAACTGACCTTTGGCTCAACATTACATTTTCCCCATTACATAGGACAATCAGGATCCTCTCCTTGCCCCTCAACACCTACAAACGCAACATATAAAAACTGCAAGCATTCGACCACGAGACTAGTCTTGTGTACAGTCTTGGCCGTGATTTGAACAACTATTTTAACTTCGCTACTTCATTGTAATATTATACTTAATCATTTTGTGAATAAAAGCTTACGAAAATATAAAAGCATAGTCGAGTTAAGCTATTGCTCAGCTCTTCCTTTTTTATCACGAATTTTACGTGACACTACCATCGGTTGATCGCCACGCTACTGTCTCGGCTTGCCAATTGTGTCTGTTTATAAACTTGTTACGATTAGTAACCAAAATTTATTCGAATGATAAGTAACAACGAAGGATAAGCAATAAATACACAATTAACATTAAATACCATAATGGTAAAAAGATATAAATATTTGGTTGTTAATATTTTTATGATTTTATTTATGTTTTTCAATACTTCTAAAACATTTTCTTTTTTTTTATTCAACCGCCTGAAAAATAGCTTGTATTTATTTAATCAATATTCTAATTACCAAAAAGAAGCAAATTTAATGAATAATAAATAACAGATAACAAATTTTAAGCGTAAATAGCGAATAATGTATATAATTATGTATATAACTATTTGTTGCTACTACTACAATGGGCCATGTGCAGCAAACCTGACGAATCTGGGCGGATCATGCGCATCATAAATTTGGAGCAAGCGCTTCTCAGACTGTGTCCTTCGGAAGATTCTTTTTTTGACGACTAGGCAGTCTTCACCTGCCCTCGCAAACGAAAGGAGACCTTCAGATATAAGAACGCTCTCGATCAGCTATACCTTGTAGGTCCGGTGACATATCTTTTGCAACAAATATATACAAAAGATCTGTGTTGAAAATTGTGACAATTCTGCGTGGCGCAGCTTGGACTGGCTGAGTTTGGATTGGTTTAGATCAGTGGATCGTCAGTTTTAAGCTACCTAGCAAGCCAGTGCCTTAGACAAGGAAGGTGTCTTAGACATCGATAGGAAAAGTCACGTTGGAAATCATATTTATTAGAATAGGTTGGAGTGACTGTTTGCGAGAAAGGCATTGGTAGATTTCAGCAGAGAGCTGCTGCATGTTAATGCGATATTTTACTTGTTTATTTTAGAAAAATATCTAATTCCATTGATAATTAATTTTTTTGTTAAAACTAATTTTCATTATATTTGATTCACCTCTTTTGCCAACATGATACAAAAATATTAGTTCTGCGTACAAAAATTGTCGAGTGAGCAGAAAAAGGAAAAGGCCAGGTACAGATCAGAAGAAAATTAGGGATAAGGTCGGCAATGAATAACTAGTTCATGAAATTATTATATTATTGCGTTTGCTATATTTTTCTATCTTTACATTTGGTATTTAAGCAAAATAAAACGAATTAGTCTCCATTTGAAACGATAGAAATGAGTTAGGACAAATATAATAGAATACATGGTACCTTGATTTATGATGTGATTCTACATAAAAAAAATAAGTCAACAACGTTGACTACAATTTTTTCATACGAAGCTTTATTTTTGAGAAATCTGACTCCGTCACATGTAAGTGTTGGCGAATTGCTGTAATCTAATATTAGTAGTTATGCTTTTATTTGTTATTGTTGAGAATTTTGGATCTTAATAGCCGAAATAATGGCATAGCTACACTAAATTTACACTTGGAATTAACATTAGAATAGTTATATACTTATTTGATAAACGATTTCAAAGATATTTGAGGTGATCGTCGGTGAAGGTGTCCACAAAAAATACTCTTGATTTTCAACAATAACGTTTATTAAATTCTTAACAATTAATAAGAAATAACGATTAACAACGGTTAACGATTAGCAACTATTAATAATAAGTAACGATTAACACTGAACTTTCAAGAGTCAATAACCCGTTCCTCTAATTGTGTTGGCTTCGCTTAACCTTTCGCACCTCGCAGCTCGGGGCAGAACGAAGCTTTTGGTTCAAAACCAAACAGATTCTTTCCTTTGTTGCCCCTCCATATCCCCACTACGCGCGCGTTTATTAGAAGTCCGCGACGGTTGCCGCGTATGCATCCTTCCGAATATTCGGCGAAAGAACCGTAGGGATATCGATGGTACATTAGGCCTGTCTGCCTTACGCTTTGAAGGTATAGCGCTTTGTGTCGCGAAGCCGTTGGAAATTTCTGTTTTAACCTCTGAACTTACATCTACTACGGGCATAGCCCGTAGTACGATGATCGGGCCAAATATAATATATAATAGCTTGTTTACGTTTTAAGACCAAAATTCTCGAACGTAAATCGTAGGTTAAGGGGTTAACCGACTAAACAGTTTACATTCCTTTGTTTTCGAGACGCCGCGCACACACATACTTCCCCACACTGATATTAACATACAGGTATTACTACTACGCATTTAACCTGGTCTAGTACATAAAATTATACATATCTCAATAGTTATACTAGATCATACAGAGCATGAAACTGGTTAGTCATGCGCGATAAATTTTATTACTTTAGGAATTGTTGAAAATGTTTCCCATTTTGTTGAATACGCATTGCTCTTTGCATTTTCTATGAAAAGTATTGTATTTTGCATAATTTATTTGTTGTATAATTTTGTTTAATTTAATTTTGCATAATTTATGAATGTTAAACGTTGTGAAATGTTATAAAATTTGCTGTCCTGCTTCATCGTGCGTTTTCTAATACCATAAACACAAGTCAAGCCGTTAGTCCACATATACCGATGAGCAAATATTTAATGTCAATTTTTTTAAGACAAAGCCTCGTATGAAGTAATTTTATTTCATGTTTTCGACTTCATGTAGAATTTCTATAGAATCATATAGTCACTCTGTACAATATGGGCAATCATACTTTTACAATATCTCAAATATGTATGCTGCATTAACACTCAGACTATCGACCTTGTATTGTATATCTAAATACAAGGTTGTCCGAAATGTTTCTTTCGTTTTATAAGCAAATAATAGACGCACAATGTATTTTGTTTTATATTAGTTTATTGAATTATGCACAAACATAATAATAGAAATAGAACGAAATGGATCGTACTTAATTCAATAAAATAATATATCAAGAAATTATTGTTTACCTATTATCACCTTATGAAATGAGAGAAACTTTTCGGCCAACCTAATACATCACACACAATGAATTAGGATTAAAGCAGTATAACGAAAATAAATAAGTTGTTGAAAATGACAGCGTGAGTTCATGCTCGCCATTCATATGCAGATGCGTTAATTGCAATAAATAGTAACTAGAAGATAGTTCTAGATACAATCGATAGATTTAATCGATAGGTTTCAGATGTTCTTTTGTGTTTATCCCTAGTCCATGTAAGAATGTGTAATAAAGGTTTTCTGGCTCAAAATGGAATAAAATAATAGCTATTCCGATCCTACCTCTGAATAAAGAAATAACAACATAAGTACACACCTATCGCTCAATTTACGCGTGGTATCTGTTTCATGTGCATTCATTTTACGCGAATGAAAATCGCATAAATAAAATCTGTCAGCACAAATGTAAATTTAATCTACTTTTTTCTACTACTGACATTCAACATCACCGAATAAGTTACCGTATACATTTGTTGCTTTTAAAACTTCTAGGAAAATGTATTTTCTGGCCGCGTATAAAAATTACCGCGTAAATTACCGCGTTATAATTTACCGCGTAAGAATAGTACCGCGTAACTTGAGGGATGGGTATATATAAGTCTGGTACCGATCATTGTGATTGCTTTGGTAGTAGTAATCAGATGTAATAAAAACTCCGAATACTTTCCAAATTTAGCTGATATTATGCAAGAAGAGGGGAAAAAATACTCTCTGGCCGTCGCGATAAATATTTGCTACCCACAATTTATTTCTTCTCTATGTCGAATCAAGGGAACCAGTTGTGACTGACCGATCAGTTGTAACGCCTTTATGATTCATTCGAGAATGAGACCCTAAATTTAGTCTTGGACGAGAAAATAGGCCAGAGCTCGTGGAACGTTTCTTCGGACGCGTCCAGCTTTACGCCACGACGCGCCGGAACCACCATCTCGATTTTAGTTATTTCCGTCAAATTGCGACACCGACTGTTATACTCGCCGAGTAGTTGCCGAACCTTCTCGAGACCTTCACCCTTTTTCAACTCACTATGTTGCCGTACCAGCGTCGAATTCCACGTTTTACATAGACAGGCACCGAAATAGATGTTCAAAATAAATATTTCCTAGATCGATATGTGAAATCCGCCACTACCCCGTGTCCTC